CAAATTAAATTTCCAAAAGTGCTCCACTATATCGGCGTGATGTTATGACCTCTTGACCATAGGGTTTTATGCCTGTTGTGGTTATATATCCAATAGCCTTTATATCATCTCCTATTGTTGTCTTAGTAATTCATTAATTGTTCCTTATGGTCCGAGACATTCTTACTCACACCTATGTCGCTATTATTATTATTTCTTTTTGGTGGTATCCTATACTTGGTTTACATGTCAAAGCACTTGGTTACTTATTACCATTCAAGCACATATATCTTAGCCATAATCATTTATAGTTATACATATTCGATCAAATAAACATAACATTCATATATCAAAAAACACATCACACACATATATCATTTTCATTTACCGAGTAATGAATAACATCTAACTTTACTTATTGTTGAGGCTCGACTTACATTTACTTATTTGGTCATCCTAATCCAAACCATTAGGTCAAACCCATTTTGATACCGCTTTGTAATATACCCGACTAGGACCTAAATAGGTCGAGAATATTACCGACGATACCTCACATTCCTAGAGTAATGAATATAAGACGTCAAGCCACGTCTTCTATTACTATTTAATTATTTTTTATTCATAGTAGAAGCCTATTGGATATAATTAATTAGGTCCATACTTTATTAAAAAACTACATATAATTTTTTTCAAAATAAATTCTTTTAATAAAAAACAATTCCTTAAATAAAATATATAAAGATACTTACCAAAATTTTGGGTAAAAATTTACATTTATAAAACTTAATTTTTATGTTTTAATAAATTGCTTTAGATCAAAATATATCAAATTTCCCTCTTTTATTTGTCCCAAATAATTTTATTAAATTCGATTTAAATAAATATTTATATTACTATAAAATAATCAATTTAGTCTAATATATTATATTAAATTCCTATTATTTTTCTTTAAAATCCAAATTAATAATAAAATAATCAATTTAGTTGAAGAATAATTTTTTTACCCTTAATTAAACATCAATTGAATTAACTTATATCTTAAAATTATGAATACAAAAATTTAATTGAAAATCCTTTAAATTAGAAAATTGATTTATTGGCTTAATGAAACCATTAATTTAGCCCATTGGAAGCTAAATTATAGGTTAAAATTTTTGAAAACCATTTAAGTATAGGAAACATTAATTCAAATTAATGAAACGATATCAATTAAATTCAATCTATTAAATTCAATTATTCCTTGTTTATTAAATTTGATTGTTATTTAGCACTTAAATCCAATTATTTCATGCCAATTAACTTAAAGTCTTTAAGTCAATTAATTCATTTAACCCTTTAACTATTAAATTCCACATAAATCCAACTAAGTTTCTCATTTAATCCATTTATTCAATTAGATCAATTTTATTCATTAAACTTCAATTTAACTAAACCAAGCACACCCATTCATTTAATGTTTAAAGTAAACCTAAAAATACCATTCTTTTACAAACCATAATTGCTAAACCTAGGACATATATTTAAGTCCAAAACATGTCATAAGAGAAAAGAAAAGGTCTTCTCATTCACTCCTAATTAGTAAGTACATATTGGCAAGTCCGACGCTCCTCGACAACAATCATAATACTTCATCATTAGAACCTTTATTGCCTACACCACAAGAAAATAGAGGTGATCTAATGCTCAATAAATATAGTCCATGCATGTAATGCGGATGATGCATTAAAATTCTTTTCATGCTTTTTAAAATTCATTTTTTAGGCTGAATATATTAAGAAAGCAACTAACCTAAAATTCATCAATTTAGCTCATTCAAACACATTTAATTTATCATTTAAATATGTAATTAACTCAATTAGGCAAAGAAATCCATTTTATCCTAAATTCTTAATCAAGGCCGAATCTTTCAAGTAACCTAATCCATGATAAATTTTTCAATCAACACATTTAAATGTGCCCAATCCACCTAAAGAACACATACATAACATAAAATCATGAAAACTAATATTTCTTTTCCCCCAAAACTACCAATTTGGCTTAAACTTTCACCTTTAGTTTACCATATTTAATTCTTCAATTTAACTTCAATTAAGTTCTCAAGCATGATAATTCGACCATCACAAACATGATTTCAATAATTATTCATTAAGATTACACAACTACACCAAAACCCCAATAATTGAACAATAATTTCACAACTTTTAAAACTTCAAAACAAACAATCAAGCATCAAAATAACATTTTCTTATGGTGTAGTGAGGACTACTCTTACCTTACTTGATGCTTGATAAATCTCTTCCTTGAAAGCTTGAAATTCCTCCTCCTTTTCCTTCCATCAAGATTCGGCCCCAACCCCTCTTTTTCCTTCTTCTTTATTTGATTCTTCTAGCCTTTCCTAAACTAATTTTAGGCCATGTTGATGTTTAATTTAGTAGTTTTGAGTGGTGGTTTGGCTTAATTCCGATTGAAATTGCTTGAATTTTCTTTTATCTTCCTTGAATATTTGGTTGTTGATCACCTTTCTTCTTTTTCTACTTGATTGAATTTATGGGAGAGGATTTCCTTATGATTTTTCCAAGTGCAAGACACTTGGTCTCATTTCTCCATCTCTTCATTAAATGCTTTCTCTAGAATTCTCTTAATTTCTCCTTGATTTTTCCTTAAATATTTTCTTTTTTTTTTCTTCACATGGCCGACTTATTTGGCCTCTCTTTCTCTTCATTTTCTAACTTAAAATTGGTTGGAAATCACCAATTCTAGCTAAATTAATTGGTCCCTTAATTTACCAAACTTTTACATTTTGGTCCATAAACTTTTTAAGTAGTTCAATCAGGTATTTACATTTTAGTTCTTAAAATTTCAATTTTTCCATAATAAGCCCTTAATCTAGGCTTTTTCAAGTTTCATAGCGATCATTTAAATTTTTTAATTATTTTAATCAAATACCCAATTTTTAATTATTACAATTACGTCCTTAAAATTTTTCATTTGTACCCATAGGTTAGCACACAATCATAATAATTAATATCATAAACTCACTAATTCAAACATTTAATAATTCATTTACCTTTCATAAATTTATGCATGTGTTAATTTATTTCCTAAACAAGCATAAAGTTCAATTCTCACCTTAAAAAATATTCATCTATTAAATAAATAATTTATTCATACAAACATATATACTTAAGGAGGTTTTATATCAAGGATATTACATCCTAAATGAAGTGCTTTGAAATCGATGGTGGCTTTCCATCTTTGTGGGCAAAGTCGTTGAAGACTTTCTAAATGATGTGATTAAAAATGATAGTCATTTTCTACTTATGTGGACAAAGTTGCCCAAACTTCCTAAATCATGTGATTTAAAGTCGGCATTGACTTCCCACGTATGTGGACAAAGTCATTGAAAACTTCCTAAATGATGTGATCCGAAGTCAACGATGACTTTCTACTTATATGAATGAAGTTGTCGAAGATTTCCTAAATGATGTGATTCATAGTCGATAGTGAATTCCCACTTATATGGATGAAGTCTCTAGAGACTTCTTCAATGATGTAATCCGAAATTGATGATGACTTTCTACTTGTATGGATGAAGTATTTGGAGTTTTCTAAATGATATGATTCGAAGTCAACGATGACATTCTATTTGTGTGGACGAAGTCACCTGGAGACTTCTTAAATGATGTGATTTGAAGTTGATGGTGACTTCTTAAATGATGCGATTCAAAATTGTCGGTAGCTTTTCAATCATTGAATGAAGTCACTAGAGACTTTCTTATGATATGACTTGAAGTGGACAATGACTTCCTAATATTGTGAAACTAAAGATGTCGGTGGCGTTTTACTTGTATGAATAAAGTTATCGGTGGCTTCCTATTTTGGTGAACTAAAATCGTCGAGTTGCTTGGATGAAGTTGTTAGAGGCTTCCTACTTTTGTGAACTAAAGTTGTTGATGACTCTCTGTTTGTGTCAATATGGGCTCTCAATTTCTAAAGACTCATGTATTTGTTGATACAAGTTTGCAGTTGCTAGGGGTTTGCCAAAATTTCAACTTCCATCCTTATTTCTCCTTTAAAGTATGGGTATAGGCCTTTAATCATTTTAAACCCTAAATTACTCAAATAATTTATTTCAATAAAATAAATTTGCTCAAATAGGTATAAAATCATAACATAACAAGATCATACCTTAGTTTTTATATACATACAATGCAACCTATCTCGGGTAGGATAAGATAGTTATGATGTTAACCTTTCACATACGTAATTGACTTCTTATCCAAATATTTGTGTAAACTAATTTGTTTTAGAGCTTTCTAATTCTCCTGATTGTTAGGTGACGACTCTATCCGTCCGCAGCCCCTTGTTGACAATACTCACACTCGGCCTCCTTGATTTCTCCTTTTTGCTCCTTCTCTTTCCTAACTCGCTCTCCTTATTTTTCCCTTTCATATCTTTCAATTTCTTGTTCTTTTTCTCGTTTAAGATCTCATTCCAGGTCTCTCTCTTTGCTTGGACACATGTCGTTATTTCATTGGGCCATGTCACTCCTACTTGTAAAAAATTATGCTAGATATTAGATAATGGAAAAGTTGGACTCGATTGCCAAAAAAAAAAAAAATGAAGATTTGAGACCCAAATCGAAAAAGTTAAAGGTCAGATACCTATCTCTGCCTGACTAAAATTTCAAGATACTTTAAAACTAATTAGTCTTAAAATAAAGGTGCATGGCTCATGCATGTCCAATGTAAGAATCATTGATTCATTCAATTTTTAGCCCGAGATAGGGTATGAATGACAAAAATAAATGAACTAGAAGCAATATAATAGCAAGAAAAATAATTACTTCCAGCCTGCTATGACCAAGGACGGCAAAGCTTTTAAATATACAGCAACAACTTCAATCCACACTACTATCCAGGAAATGCTGAAGCACACAATGATACAATATTCTCCCTATGGGCATTTATATATTTGGGACCTTATTTTTCTACGAACCAAAACAGAGCAACAAAAACAGATCATGAGGAAATATTTGTGGGCTCATTTAAGCTCATGCGGGCAGTAAGCACGTCAAGGAGCTGCTGGTGTGCGGTTAGATGCGGAAAATGCCCATCAGTTTCAATGATCTCAACTGTACATTCCCCTTTGATCTTGTCCTGCATATAGTAAGCAACAGAATTTGGCACCACAACGTCTTTACTGGCCTGGACTATAGTGCACGGTGTCAAAACCTTCTCAAGAATGTCCCTTTCATCACTGTAAAAAACAGTTTTGGCTAAAGGGACGGCAACCTCAGGTCTCATTCTTTGCAAACATTTTGAGAAAATGTCAACTGAGAGAGGATCATTTGCATCCACAACAAGAGAAGCAAAGGCTGTAGCCCAGTTACCGAAGTTGGATGACATGTTCGAAATGAGATCGTCAATCTCTGAGTTCTTCAATCCTCCTTCATAATCATCAGCATTGATGTACCTACATACATACAAGTACAAGCAACCGTAACATGGAAAATATGTGAGAATCTTTTAGAGGCGCCAATAATCTAACTTCAGATTAAAATAATAATAATAATAAATTAGTAAAAGTGTTTTCGCTCATATTACGTTATTCTAATGATATATATATATATATATATTAAGGTGCCACTTCATGAATTATTTTGCTAATTAAACTATCATTTCTCACAAATCAACTTTGATTTAAGGGAGCTCTCCTCAAGTCAGCAGTAACAAGATTATGTTAAGTAAATCTCGAAAATTAATTTTCAAATCAATGATTTTGAATTTTTTTTTCTATAAAAAGTAATTATTAATTTTAAAAAGATTCTAACCACCTACTAATTTGATAAAACAAAATCCAAATCATTGATTTCAAAATTAATAACCTGAATTTATTTAACATGAGTCATGTTACTTCTAATTTGAAAATAGCTGAATCTGATTTATTTTTTATTCTATGAAGGAAGACTATGAAGATAGATATGTGCTAACTGTTCGGCTGGCTAGTTTCAGTAGTAGTTTGATATACTGTGAAATAAGCTACTCTCCAAAATGGATATTTTTGCTCCTTGCCGGAGCATGAGTGAAAGAAAAGGCAGATTAAACAATCCTTTGTTAAGGATAAATTCTGATGAAGAAACTAGTCAATTGAAGTACACATTCCAAGCACACTAGATTTCAAGACAAAGAAGACAACTCCATGTCCACATGTTTGATTGTCTTTTTGTAGCCATTGTAGATAAGAGTATATCAAATACCAATATTAGGGTGCCGTCTTTAGTGTATATATTGACTCATAACCAAAAGTTTTGACTGTCTTGGATCGGTTGTTACGACATCAAATTAAAGTTTCAACACATAAGAATAAATTAAAAGTTGTAACTTTGTGTATTCGACCAAGCTACTGGAAAAATTCACCATGGTAACATGTAGCCTTGGCCTTTAATTGTTTACTCAGAAAAAAATAAATAAGACTAATTGGACATAAGATACTAATAGCTCTCGTATGTTACCATAATTAAATTCATGCCGGAGTTAGGTGTCTAGGACTCTTCCTTACTTTATTTCTTTACCATTGTCCCCGAATTATTTCTATTTTGTAGATAATAGGGATCTTAATAATTTTTTACAAAAATAATCGTCAGTGGCTAAGGAAAGAAAAGAAAAAGTGAGAAGGTAGAAACAGAAAGAGTTGATACATCTTAAAGTAACTAGCTAGCAAAAAAAAAAAAAAAAAAGATAAAGATGGTGCTTCAATCACACCTCAAAGGGAAATTGAAAAGTAACCAAAACAACAGTAAGAATCCCTCATATTGTCAGTACATACAACTAAACAATAACAACTTATATATGGTTGATCTTTTAGATAGAGAAAAACAAAAAGTATTAATTCTCTGTGAGGAGAGAGAGAGAGAGAGAGCTTGAGCAGCAGCAGCAGCAGCAAAGAAGTTCATTTATATAGTACTTAAGGTGGACAAAACACTTATCAAAAAGAAAATCAAACAACAGTTTAAGAATCCCTTATAAAATTATAGTTAGCATACGTAGTTACCTGGGAGAAGCTCCAATAAGTATGAGCCTCTTAAAAAGATCAGGTCTTTTAATGGAAGCAATGCATCCAATCATACCAGACATGGAGTGGCCAACAAAAACAGATGATTTCAAGTTAAGCTCATCTGCGAGACTGATTAAGTCATTTGCAAAAGCCTCATATGATGAGTACTTAACAGGGTCAAAGAGATTTGGATCTTTAACAGCTCCTGAAAAGATCCAGTCAAACACAAGTACCCGATAATGATTAATCAGGCAGGGAAGGATTTTGTCCCATACAGACTGGTCTCCTCCAAACCCATGTGCAAGAATTATGGCTTGGTTGCCAGAGCCTATAACTTTTGCATTCAAGGCTCCTGAAAGACCATTTTCTGGCACAACCATGGTGTAAAAAGAAGAGAGAAGACAAATTAAGCAGGTCGAAGATGGGAGAGAGGGGCTAGCTATAGAGTTAAGAGAGCTTGTTATGGTCTGCTTTTCTGTTTGCTGTGGCCCCTGTTATATAGAAATTTAGAAAGAGAGGCTCGGCTTTTGATGGTAAAATAAGAAAAAGGAGTTATACATATTTATCGACCATTGTTAAAGATTAAAGTTACTATTTAGAAACTAGGGTATTTTTTTACGACTCATTTGCTTACTCTCTTGTTTGTATCCTAAAAGTACAACTACGTACGAAGTTTATATATATATATATATATATATATATAGAGTAAAAGACAATTATTTCTCATTATGTAGACTAAAACTCATAAGCCTATTCATAAATAATAATAATAAAAAAACATGTAACAGTAACTTTTGATTTTTCTAATGCATTTATACATCTTTTCTGGACAATTAAATGCATTTTTATAGAGTTAGAGAATACGTAAGCAGTTAAAATAAAAAATGAGTAATATATAAAATTATTAAGAAATCACTCATCATAACGTGTGTGTGTGTGTGGGTAGGCTAAGTGTGACACAAGGCATAGTTGCTTCTACTTTGCAATGAACATGTAAGAGAGGAGTCAATCTCGGCATGATGATGGTTGGCAGGAAGATTATAAATTGCTGGCTGAAGGAGAAAGATCAAATTTATTGTTCCAGTTGGGGTCATTCAGTGAGATTTGACCTTTACGGATTCTAATGTTGGGCGATCGAGTTGATCACAAAATACCTAATGCTCCATCGTATTTGAAGGCTGTCCTCCGCAAGAAGAATGTGTCAAATTTATTTTCCCGTGTTGTGATGACATTTAGCCATCAGTAGCTACATGCTGCCAACATCAACCAACATAACTTATGAAACATTACATAACTTATGAAACACCATACTATAATGCAAAAATCATATACTTCTCTGTTGATTCATCTTTAGCTAGATTCTTGCTAGCATATGTTTTGGATAAATACTACAATAAAATGATATAATATGTAATTAATTAGCAACAAAATTCTTAGATTGGTTTGGTATAAAAATGTAATTACCTAAGAGTCTATGGGTCAATTTCTATATTTGGCTTAGAAAATAATTGATATAATTAAATCTCATAAGAATTGACGAGCACTAGTGGTTAATATGAATATTGCCAACTGATTGATCTAAAAGGATGAACACGTATACATATTTAATCTTTTATGGAATCTAGCTATTTGTTTGCATAACATTTTTAAATCTACGTAGTCATTAATGGGCATGATTTGGGGAATTTTTTATATCCATTGATAATTCTTTGATTGTTTTCATCGTCACTATTTAAGATTTGGGGATTTTATATATATATATATATATATATATATATATATATATATATATATATATAGTGACTGATAATTCTTTCTTTGTTTTAGTCATTAATATTTTATGTTAATAATAAAAGTAAGTTGTTGGAGACTCGAAAGATTTATTTAATTGTTAAGGGAAAATCCCTGTATAGATTGTTTGTTTCAAATTTTAGCCACTTATCTCAAAATTAGCTGATAAAAAAAATACATTAATCCATATTATTATTATTATTTTATTCAACAATAAAGATATGTTAATATAGATTGTATGTTTTTTTCTTTTAATTTTAAAAATACATCTTTTATGTTGTTGAGATACATTAATTCAATAAAATTTTAATAAAATATTTTAACTTTCATTTTTAAAATTTAAACCCACAAAATAAAAAAAATTATCAACCTCCTAGAGTTAATTATCAGTTGTAGTAAATTGGAATTACATACTATTATTGTCCAGGGAGAGTGAAAACTGAAGAAAAGTATACATAGTTGCTTCCCAGCAGTGGCAGTGAGAAGGAAGCAGAACCACAAAGAAAAGAAAAAGGCAGAGGCTGCCGTAGTCAACAGGGAGGTGTGGACGAGTTCATACACAAAAGGTAGCTTTTGTCTTTTCTGTATTACTATATATTTATACTGACGTTGAGAGCTGAGACTGGAGAGATAAGTCCAAGGTCGACCTTTTCTGCTGTTAAAGTTGGTGAGCCCCACCCACGTTCTTTCCTCTTAAAACTAATAAGCATGCGTTTGGTTTTACTATTCTGATTTGGCCTCATTTATTCTTACCAACAAGTAACTTCTCATAATGGAATGAAAAGAAGTGGCTACCTCGCTTTTCGGAAAAGAGCTAGGAAATATTTTCTCATAAGGTAAAGGTGAATATTGACAGAACGTTGCCCGCAAGGCTTCCTAATCTATAAAATGGAGCAGTAATTAAATCAATAACTAACGATGACATTCCGCAAGCGGACGCAGTACCAAATATCAACAAAAATCAAAATAAATATTTATAAATTTATCATAATTTATATAAATTTATATATATTATAAATAATATATATATTATAAATAACATATCAATAAATATTTTAAAATAATCTCAAAAATACAATCATTCAAAATATAGATCTTTATTTTTTTAAATCACAAAAATCATCTATAAACGAATTTATACTAAACTTTTTAGTAATTTCTTTTTTAATATAGCTAAAAATGATCTGTTTCGTGGTAGCCGTAGAAGCTGAAAGAGTAAAAATAACTATTATCATTCTATACACAAGTGGATAACTTTCAAATTTTCTTATCTTCATCAACCACCGACATAAATCGGATACGGTTGACAATGTTTCAAAATTAAAAAGATTTTGTACATGATCAAAATACTTAAATTGCATCCTTAATTGTAGCATTTCATGATTAACAAAGTCTTGAGAGTAAAATTTATATACCAATTTACAAATGTCACCAATTCTAAATGATACGCACATCTCTATAGATTTTAAAGTCTGAACTAAGAATGAGTAGCTCTATCATGCAATTGTTAAATCTATTATTCGGTTCTTGCAATTGAGAATCTATCATAGCATTGAATAGGTCAACTTTGTAATGATGCTCGACTATAATTGCACTTCACATATTCATCAAACAAAAAATAGATTTTAAATGAAAACTCCAACGAGTATTCTCAATCCTTTTGTAATATCTCAAACTCATTATTAAATGAAGTAAAAATATATTAAGGATATATGAAAATTATTCTATGGGCATAAGATTGTTGCCATGAGGATGCTAGAATATGTGATGCGCTTAGGATAATTTTCATGAACTCGTGTGAGTATTTTATCCATTTTTCAATGCATGAATAATATTTTTTTTATGCAAAATAAATGTTTTGAGTATTTTAAATATGCATAAAAAATGTTCTATTTGCATAGAATATTTGCTAAAGGGGTTTTACATTATTCTATGCCATTGGATGAATTTTTCGATGTTCGGTGAATATTTTCAATGCATGAATAGTGCTTTTTTCGTGCAAATTAATTACTTTGAGTATTTTAAATGTGTTTGAAAATTATCCAATGGGCATAGAAAAATTATTTAGAAGGTGTAGGAATATTCTATGAACTTAGGGGAATGTTTATGTGCACGAGGATTTTTTTTTTTTTTTTTTGTAGAAATAAGTCCTCAAATTAATTATTTTGTGAAAGAAATATACTCATTTATCCATAGGTTAATTAAAATTCCAATTGAAGCATCCTAAAAAAAAAAAAAAAAAACCTAATTAAAGCATGAGTTAGGATGATGTCATATTGAAAGTAGAATTGTGATAAAAGAAAAAATAATAAAAGAATATGACTTTGGGTGCTCCATAGGGGAAAAAAATGGAAAGGGAGGGGCCCGGGGCCCTAGTAGGATTGTACTTGGGTCCGCGCCTAATGACATTGGAAATAATATTTTTAAGTAATTCGATATATAGTAAACAAATATTACAAAATATTTATAAAAATAAAAATACATTTAATACAATGGACAAAATTGAGTAGGTGAGATTGAACTAGACATGATAGAGTAGAATAAATAATTATCTTATTTATTAGTTGGTGCAAAATTAATTCTATTTTTTTATTTGACAAGTATAAAAATAATGAAAATAATACCATTATCTTTTTTTATGCATGTAAATATGAAAATAATATATTTTTTAAGAGGAATGATAGATTAAGAACTCAAACCTACAACTGGTGACAAAAAGTTTGGTGGTAGAGTTGTAATTTAATTAGAATGACATTTTATAGAGGCTATAGAAACAAACACATAGATTAGCGAGTGTGTATATATATATATGCTTTATTTGTCGACGTTCCCACATCTACAAATCCAAATACCTCTTCAAGATTCTCTTTGTAATTCTCAAAAAAATGAAGTGTTGTTTGGTAAGTTTGGAGACATATGGCCTTATTTTCCATTATCTACCTCCCTCCCCTCCCACCCCCTCCCCCTCCCCCCCTCCCCCTCTTTTATAAATGCATAAATACATGGACATGGAGGTACAACTTTAGATTTATGCAATGATTTCAAAAAAAAAAAAAAAAGATGTGGGTACTATATTAATGTCAACATTTATAATCGGATTTGTGATTTTTTTTTAATTGCAGATTTGATAACATTAAATGATATACTTGGTTGAAATGTACCATTGTATACCTTTGAACTCAACCGGGTCACATCCCAAATGAAACAAAAGAGCAAATTAACTTTTTATAATTTCCTTAACAAGGTATGCCTTATGATATTAGTTTGGTTGGTCTACCCAAATGATTAGATATTGTCTAATCCATAAAGAAATAAAAACACACATTTATTTAATAAAAGTATACTTTTAGATTTTATTATCTAATTAGCACCAAATATTGAAGTCACTACTTGTTGTCAAATAGTGGTCTATCGTCAATAATGACCTTTATCTCTCAAATTGATGTCAAAATTATTGGTAACAAGAGAATTGATTATTCTATCATTATCTTTATGCAATTTGTTCAAATCTTGGCTATATAAAAGGCCAATAGACTAAGGTTAATGGTTTAACTCTCCGTAAACTTGAAAATAACTATTCATCATGTTTTACTGATTTATACAACCACATTATAGCATATTCCAACAACCATCCTTCTTTGTACACCGACTTGGTCATTAAATTATCCTCTAACCCACTAGAAAGACTTATTTTAAAGGTATTTCAAATTGTTGGATCTTCATCCACCATCACTAGTCATAATTCTTTTATCCATAAGAAAAAGTCACCTCATCAACAATACTATTCTAAGAATTCCAACTCATCGGTGGCACCATCTATGCAAAACTAAGCTAGAAGCTAGCTCCTAACTTGCACTTTATTCTCTAATTCTTTTTTTTTTTTCTGGATGAACATCATAAGATGCAAGCTCGTGATGCTTCATTGAATTTTAGTAGTCTTAATTCTCAACCTATAGACGTCCTCCAACTGCAATATGTCCAAAATATGACAAAGGCTTTTACATGTCGTACAAGAATAGATAACCCCATCAATTCTATGAGTGCCACAAGTAGCTCCACACGTCCCACCATTATAAACTTTTGCACCTTAATTAGCTACACCATAAGTGAAACAATTTTCATCTTCCTCTAATCAAAATAGGCATGGTCAACACCATATCGGATAGGAAATGGGAAGACGAAACAATATAAAAGATGGAAAAAAGGAGAGCCATTATTCCTTTAAACCTCAAAGAAGTTATTCTTATTATTAGAATAAAGAGTAAGTCATTCAAAGCTTTTGTAGCAAAAAAAAAAAAAAAAAAAAAAAAAAAAAACAAGAGGATATAATATCACCATAACACAAAGACTAAGAATAGTCCTATTGGGAGGCACTATAAGAGGCATAAAATGAAGAGATTCTCTTAAAAAACATCCTCAATAAATCTCGAACCCAACCATCTACTAATGGATAAGAAATCTACCACCTCCTTTTAGTCGATTTAGATTATTATAACCATAGAATTGAGGCATCTTCTTTTTTCCCTCATATCCTAAATGCCAAACTCGAAAGAGAGTTCATATATGAACAAACAAACTTAGAAATCTATGATGGCATGATAGACCTATGAGAAGATATGCAAAACATCGAAGGGCCTTCGAGTTGATGCTCTAAGGCATAAACATCACATGTAAGTTGCTCCTCACTACTTTCCGAGGGACATCTAGAAAATGGTACGAGTAACCTATATCTTGAATTTGTATTTAGCTTTAAGAATGTATACTCTAAGCTTGTCACTTGCTTCTCTACCAATATTTCAGCCAAAAAAAGTTCTACTTGGTTTGTTTTTAATTTCCCAATGAAAGGGAGAAAGCAGTTAATCTTATCTCTTTTTTTTTTTTCATGAGGAGATGTTAAAGGTTTTTGGGTTGCTAAAACTCATAGTAGCAAAAGCTTTATTAGCGGTTGTTTACCTAACTTATGAAGAAAGATTTATGCTCTTTCTAATTGGAATCTTTACTAGATAAAGAATGTAATAGAGAGTCATATCTATATAGAAGAGACACTTGTCACTAGAAAAGCTCACCATTATTTTTAAAGATTTGTAGAGAAAATAAATAGGAGAAAATATCTATAAGACCACTTTAGTCCAAAGAAAATCCCTATGGGGCTAACTTACAACCACCATGACTTCCTCAAAGTCCAAGTCGCTATCCCAAAAATGATCTAGATAAAAATACTAGCTGCCATACAAAGAGAAAGATATCTAAATCATTCACCTCTAATGAAAGGTCTTTTGTGGCTTTGCAATCAAAACAAATTATTTCTTTTACCATTAAGACAATGGCTACGATACAAAAAGTACTTTGCTTTGAAGAAAATAATAGAGAGGTTGATCACCGAAGGTTACCAAAAATAGTTTATAAGAAAAAGTCTAAATCCTAATTGAATTAAAGTAAGAAAAGCCACTACTTAGGATGATCTCCCACATATAAAAACAATCCTAAGAGGACTACTAATTGAAAATAGGTATAATAGAGAAAAGAAGGTGGGCAAACAACTAGTCATGATTACTTCACGAGCCTTCACCCCTTGGTACAAACCCATTGTGTTTACCATTGAGGATGCAAAAAGAATGACTTGCCCCTACAGGTGATGCTCTAGTTGTCTACATAAATCTCTCCAACCATTAAGGTTACCATATCCTTATAGATAATCATAGTGATGTGAGCATTTTATCATGAGAGGCCTTCAACTTGATGA